AATGCAATTTCGAATCAATATATACATATATGGTATATTTTGTTAAGCAGACTTCGTTTGTAGTTGCCAATAACTTGTGCTATTTAAAGTACCATAACATGCACTTGATCTGCAGAGCATTCCCCAGTCGCTGCAGTCGTCGATTCCTGTTGATTCCATGGCATCATTTGGGAATTTCTCAATTGAAGTTTGCGAATCTTTAGCACCTTTATTGTTTGATTTGCAAATGCATGCACAATAAATAGAAATAGAGAGAGAGATAGATAGTATACAGAAATATACTATGTGTTGATAGATAGATATAGCTGGAACCACTGTGTCTAGTTGGTGCTGAATGAGCTCAACAAATTTGTGGGCTGCTTTTCTAACCGTTCGCCTTTTGTTGAATGGAAATGAAAGAAGCGCACGCCAAAACCATTACATGTACCACAGCAACGGGGTACCAGTCAGCCAGTCGAAGCGCATTTGGCCAATGTCGAATATAGACAAGCTATAATGGGGGCTCTCTTTGGGAGTGGGACATGGGAGTGGGACTTGGGACTTGGGAGTAGGAGTGCGAGTGCGAGTGGGAGGGAATGAGCGACTGTGTCCGGCAATTCAGTTGGATACCAAGACCACGTCGTCTTTGAGCTCATTACGGAGGCATGGCACATAATCTTCGTTGTTTTTTGCTGATGCTTCTCCCCTTTGGATTTTTGCATATTGAGTCTCGAGTGTGCGCCGCGCGGGCAATAAAATATTAAACAATAATAATAAATAAATAAAATGACACAGAGAGGGAGAGAGAGAGAGAGAGAGAGCGAGCGAGAGGATGGAGAGATTTGGCAATACTCTTCGATCCGATCCACTTATATATACCACTTACATATGTACTTGTACACTCGTTTAGCTGCTGTTGAACTCAAGAGAATCCACTTGAGGCCATGGCAAAAGTGCTGATCACGCTGATGATCATTGGGATCGGCTATGCAGCGCCGCCGAATGCCTGCGATCTCAGCCAGCATCGCTGCCTCATCGATGTTACCGCGGAGGGGGGCGGCACAAGGCTGTGGCATGTGCCCTCCGATGTCGACATAACCCTGCAGTGCTTCCGTCAGCAGGCCAGATGGTTCTTTCAGGACAGGCCCCTGTACAACGGCACCTTCCTACGACTGGAGCGGGTCCAGTCCAGACAATCGGGGAGCTACGGCTGTGTAGACAGCCTGAATCGGTGGCTGAATGTCACTTTGAAAATTGGCTCCCCCAAGGAGCAGGCTGACAACGACATTGCCAGCTTCGCCAAGGTGGATCCACATCCGATACCCCAACAAATTCCCAGCGGCAGCTCGGACACGGATCTCTTTTTCCAACCACTGAATGTGAGCCTGACCCTTCCACAAATGGCCCAGAGATTGCCCGATTCCGTCCAGCGCACGGCGGGCGGCCTCTTCCAGTTAAGCTGCAGCCCCTTGAAGCCGGATGCCGTGGGAGTGAACATATCCTGGCTGCACAACGACACGCAGGTGCTTGGCGGTCGGGGCCGCATCAAGCTCAAGAGATGGTCCCTGACTGTGGGTCTGCTGCAGCCCGAGGATGCCGGCACCTATCGCTGCCAGCTGTGCTCCGCCCAGGGCTGTACCGGCAGCAATCCCACCCAGCTGGAGGTGACGAGTCGTATCCACACGGCCCCAGTCCTGCGACCGGGCTATCCCCGGAATGTCAGCACCGCCCTGAGCGACACAGTCAACTTCCAGTGCCCGCTGGAGGACTCCCAGCTGCAGCCGCAAATCAAGTGGCTCCACCAGGAGATCGGTGGCAGCATACAGCTGTTGGTGGAGCGCATTAAGGAGCAGTCGCAGGATCTGCCGCCGGATGTGCAGCAATTGCCCACCATCAAGGACGAGCCGGAGGTGCTGCGCCTGGGGCATGTCCAGTTTGAGGATGCCGGCTGGTACATCTGCATCGCCGAGAACCAAGTTGGACGCACTGTGGGCGCGGCCTATCTGGAACTGCACACCGCCCTGAGCACTAGCACGATGCGGGTGGACACCACAGCGAGCACCACCACCACAACGTCCTTGCGCGCCAACACCCTGGACACAGACGATGAGGCGGATGATGCTGCCGGTGATGCGACAGCCGGGGAGCGTCCGCCGGTGTTCAAGAAGCAGCTAGAGCGCCTGCAGCACTCGGTGGCCGGCAAGACGATCACCCTCTCCTGTCCAGTGGCCGGAAATGCCAGCATCACCTGGACTCGGGACAACAAGCCCCTGAAGCGGCGCGAAGGCAGCTATGTCCTGAAGAAGTGGAAGCTGCTTATCGACGATGCCACCTCCGACGACTCGGGGATCTACACTTGCCAGGTGTGCAACGGCCGCGGCTGCATCAAGTTCGATTTCAGTGTCGAGATCAACGATCGCTTCCGCGCCCCTCCGATCATCATGGTGCCCCAGAACCAGACAGTGCAGGTGAATGGGAGCGTGACTATGGAGTGCTCGGTACTGTCCGATCTGAACCCCACCGTTCGATGGATCCGAGTAGTGCCCAGGAATCGATCGGAGGCGGGGAGTCGCGTGGAGTCGGCGACGGCTGCGTCGGAAGATGCGGACGTTGTGCAGATCCCATTGAACACCACACTGGACCAGGAGCATATCCTGCAGCTGAACAATGTCACCCACGATCATGAGGGATGGTACACCTGTACCTCCTCCACTACTCTGGGGACCAGCAACTCCAGCGTGTATCTGCGCGTGGTGGACTATTCGCCGCACATGAAGGTGTACGCCCTGCTGCACAGCCATCCCTTGGGCTTCACTGTGGCCGCCGTCATGATCGTGGCCTTGTTCCTGCTAGGCAGCGCCTTCATCGTGTACATGCTGCGCCGCCTGAGGCGCGAGAAGCTGCTGAAGCATCGCATCGAGACGGTGCATCAGTGGACCAAAAAGGTTATTATCTATCGGCCGGCCAGCGCGGAGGGCAGCTCCTGTTCCGCTGGCAATCTTCAGATGCCGGTGATCAAGATCGAGAAGCAGAGAACCACCTTCTCCACAACCGGTCCGGGCAGTGCCGATTCCTCGCAGGGCTTCAACGAGTACGAGTTCCCGCTGGACTCCAACTGGGAGATTCCCAGGCAACAATTGTCGTTGGGTTCCATACTGGGCGAGGGCGCCTTCGGCCGGGTGGTGATGGCCGAGGCCGAGGGCCTGCCACGTAGCCCCAACATGGCCGAGACCATCGTGGCCGTCAAGATGGTAAAGGAGGAGCACACGGACGCGGACATGGCCAGCCTGGTGCGGGAAATGGAGGTCATGAAGATGATTGGCAAGCACATCAACATCATTAATCTGCTCGGCTGCTGCAGCCAGGGAGGGCCCCTCTGGGTCATCGTCGAGTTCGCGCCCCACGGCAATCTCAAGGATTTCCTCAAGCAGAATCGGCCGGGAGCACCGCAGCGACGCAGCGACAGCGATGGGTATCTGGATGATAAGCCGCTGATGCCGCAGCAGCATCTGGGGGAGAAGGAGCTGACCAAGTTCGCCTTTCAAATCGCCCGCGGCATGGAGTATCTGGCCTCGCGACGGGTAGGTTGATTGTCTTCGTAGAGAGATTGTCGTACATTTCATTTGGAACTCCCTTTTGTAGTGCATTCATCGCGATCTGGCAGCCCGAAATGTGCTCGTCAGCGATGGCTATGTAATGAAGATAGCCGACTTTGGCCTGGCCAGAGACATTCAGGACACAGACTACTACAGGAAGAACACCAACGGACGACTGCCCATCAAGTGGATGGCTCCCGAGTCGCTGCAAGAAAAGAAGTACGACTCACAGAGCGATGTGTGGAGCTATGGTGTGCTGCTGTGGGAGATCATGACCTACGGAGAGCAGCCCTATCCGCAAATCATGTCCGCCGAGGAGCTCTACAGCTATCTGATCACGGGGCAGCGCATGGAGAAGCCGTCCAAGTGTTCGCTCAACATCTACGTGGTGATGCGGCAGTGCTGGCACTTTGAGTCGTGTGCCAGGCCCACGTTCTCGGAGCTGGTGGAGAGCTTCGATGGAATACTGCAGCAGGCGAGCAGCAATCCCAACGATGCTTACCTGGATGTATCCATGTCCATGCTGGAGACACCGCCCTCGTCAGGGGATGAGGACGATAGCTCTGAAACAGAAACATTCCGAGAGACTTTACCGCTTAGATATCAATATACGTATAAGTTTAACTAGAACTAGAACTAGAACTAGAGCTAGAAATACTCGTAGGCACAACCGCAACCAAGAACTTCCAGCGAGTCAATAAAATCCCATCGATATTACCCATCCTATCCCATCGAGTACTTCCCGCAGGATTAATCAACTTTCATTCCCTCCTACCCATAGAAATTGCCAAAGAAAATATCGCTGAAGCAGAAGCATCTGATCGAGTCCTTCCAAACCACTCGGCCCTCACTAAGCGCCTCCGATGTGGCCAAATATCACAAAACGTGAGTAGCTTTTGCATCATTTTGTCACCTCAACATTAGTTAATGTTTCAATCCTTTATAGTTATACCCGTTTCACCAATAAGGAGAAAAGCTCGAGGGAGTTTGTGGCTAAGCGCGCTACTTTGGCTTAAAGACAAAGACTAAATTAGCATAGAACTCTGTTTATCTTTAACTGTATTTTTTTGTATCTTTGTACATGGAGTGAGGCGCAAGTATTTGGGTTTTGTATATTTAACACATTTTTTTTTCTTCTTGTTGTTGAGGCAATAAAACGAATTTTGTTTAAAGAATGAGAAAGGATCCATCCACGACATTTATTATTCCCCGCATGCCCGCAGTGTCGAGAATTGGAACAAGCCAGCTCTGAAAGGTCAATGAATCTCGTCTGGGGCAATCTTATCTGTCGCTGACATTGGCTCGGCTTTAAATATATAGAAAGAACATTCTCGTGTATATTTTGAGTGCAGATTCCAACCGAATGATCAGTAAGGAGCGAAATGCTGCGTTTGACACTCGTTTGGCTCTGTTGTCTCGCCCTCTGTGGTGGCTGGAGCCGCAGCCTGCCACTGTGGCGGAATCGAGAGCCTGAAGATCTCATAGAGAAACCGACTCAACAGGGGGAGCGTCAACGTTTCCTGCTCGATTTGCTGCTGCAAGTGCACAAACCTTTGCTCCATCAAGAGCTGATAGCCATGGGTAGTCGTCTCAACCAGGAACCAAGTGATTACCAAGAGGCGAGTACGAAAGTCAGAAGTAATGAAGTCAAAAGTCACAAGTTAACTTCTCCTACAGGGTGCCATGCTGCGTCTCAAAGACTTCCTGGATAGTGTACATGAGAATAAAGTCCCGCGGCCCTTTGGAATCTTCAGTCAGCTGGATAAGAAGATGCCCGAGCACCTGTTGGGCGTCTATCGGTTTCTGGCCCTCGCCACGGATTGGTACTCATTCCAGCGAAACGCATGCTATGCCAGAATACACTTTCATCCCATTCTCTTTGTGAATGCCTTGCAATTGGCAGTGGAGGAACGGGAGGACACTAAGGACTTGAGACTGCCAGCCATGTATGAAGTGCTGCCGCAACTGTACTTCGAGAAGGAGGTGATACTGGCTGCCGAGGAGGTGGTCTGGCAGCAATTAATTCCCACTAGGACTGTCAGTCCCAAGTGCAGTTGGATGGACATCCTCCGGGGGTGTCACAGTTACAGGCGACCTTTGGACAAAGAGGAACTAATGCCGGCGGATCCAGTAGTCATCGACGATGAGAGGAAAGTGGCCCATCTCAGCTTTGATGTGCAGCTGAACTCTTACTGGAACAATCTGGTTAATCGGTTGATTATCTCAATGGAGGAGTGGAAGGAGTCGGAAGGGCATGAGCGGATTATAGACGGGGATCGGCTGATGGCATTTAGGGGAGCAACCGATGAACTCCGATTTGGATATCAATTGCAAAATGGATTATATTCTAAGTTCCCTCAGTTATTTTACTACAGTATCGAGCAATTCGTGGCGGCCTCAATGATGGAAGACGTTGCCACCGGCCAAAGATCAATGGAGCTGATTGATCCTCCGCTAATCACAACTGGGGGTGTTCCCTTTAAAGCCACTTCCATGGACAAAGAAGGTGTGAGCCGTATGCTTAGCCTAATTATTGAAAATCTGCAGGCACAGATCAACGATGCAGTGAGCAACGACTTCAACTCTTCTGACAATATCTTTGTTGCTCAGCATTTGATGGCCTCGAGGTATCTATCTATCTGTCGGGACTTGAGTCTGGCCATAAATGAACGTGCGACAAGTCAACCCAACATGCTGGGGTTGGCCACAGCCAACCTGAGAGATCCCATCTTTCGATCACTGCTCTTTCGCCTGAATAGGCTGGTGTCTAGCTATGAAGTGCCAGCGCCCTCCGGCAGTCCGTTGCAGAAGCCATCATTGGAAGCGATTTCTTTCAGCCGGATGAACACATTTGAACAGATTGTCGACACGGATCTCATCAATCTAATGGACCAACAGCTGCTCCAAACGCAGCGTAATAACTTGAAATCTTTACGACGTCGTCTTGTGGCCCGTCAACGTCGTCTCAATCATGGCAACTTTCATATAGCCCTTGAGGTGTCGGCTCCAGCCGAGATGTTGGTACAAACAGACCTCTATCTGGCTCTTCGGAATCAGTCAAGGCCACGACTGCATCTGGATGGGTTTGTCAGCTCTTTGAGAAAGGGAATCAACGTATTCCAACGAAATTTTTCATCATCCTCGTATGGAAGTAGTCCCACAGTCAGTGAGCTCTATGAGACCAATTTCCGAACTTCAGATGGTACCCGCTCTTATGGGCTTCCTTCACATCTCCGGGTGCCACGGGGAACAAGAGAGGGCCTGAAACTTCAATTGATCATAGAGCTTACTGAACCAGGCCTAGAAAATGAGTGGTCTGGGGCTATGCTGCACAAGGCGGCCAGGGATGTGGTAATCTTTCATCATTAAGCAATCAACGATTAATCTGTAATATATGCTAAGTGTTTGTTAATGAATTGAATGCCAAATAAACTCCATCTCACACCTATTTGAGGCCAAACGGATCTACATGTAAGGACAATGGGACTGAGGCGTATTAATGTAGTTTTCCGGGCACGCACACGTTTCGAATTAAAATTGGGTGATGGCGGGAGACAATAACTATTCGATACAAGCATATTTAAATGAACATGGGTAGAGTGAAAACCTCCTCGGCCTAAACACAAAATGTCAGACATGTCATTCAGTTAACTGGTTTCAAAGCATCGAAACATCCGCAAAAGTTGAAAATATTTATTTAACCTTCTCCCATGATGATCTCCAATTTGTTCAGTAAACAAAACACACACACACACATGCTACACACAAATATCCGCTATCCTTACAGTTCGAAAATCAAATAAAATGTCTGACAAAATGGTGCAATAAGTGGAGGAAGAGGGCCCAAAGATAGACTCGGAACTAGAATGAGAACGGTTTATTATACGCGTGTGAATGCGATGACAACAAAAAGGCATAATAGTAAAATTAAATGTGTCTATTATGCCAGCCAATACAATGCACACATAAAACCGCACTCGCACAGATTCACACACACACACACACACACACACACCCACAACCATACTCGTACTCTCCCAGGAGCCACACAATCATTTGGCAGACAAGAAGCGTTTAAGGAAGGATGTGTTGCTTAGAGGAACCAAGACCAAGTGGTTTGGGGGCGAGGCTGTTCCTGCGGATGGTTTGTCGGTGGCACATAACCGTATACCCCTACCCGTACCCGTACGTATACGCATAAAAACAAATGCACACAATACCAGCAACAACAGAGGCAACGATTTCATTCAATTCCCTCTACAAAAAGCTGGCAAAAGCAGAGAGGGAGAGAGAGAGAGAGACATGCTCGTTCTCATCAACTAGAAGGAAGGCCTTCGGTCTGTGTTTGGTCTGGTTGTGGGTGGGTGGTCGGTCTGGGTATGGAAATGGTTTGCCCGGAGAGGAGAGTCCTGGGCGTGTTTGTTCCTAGATAAGCGCAATAATATGCACGTATTTTACGCCAACTTACACACACCGCCCCGCTCCCCCATTCATATTCCCATCCATCCCATCAGAGTCCTTGCTTTCATCATCAACCTCCCCCTCGGTGAAGTGAGCATTTTCTAAGAATGCGCAAATTTAAATGCGAATTGTTTTCACTTTGTTGCCTTCGTCGCTTTGCCTAATTGACTTTGTGCCACGCCTTGCCATGCCTTGCCTTCCCTTTCAGCCATTTCCCTCCGAAAAATGGTAATAAAGAAAAAATAAACTGAATAGACGACAATCAGCGTTTGCTTTTCTTGGGTTCTTTTCTCTTCTTCTCTAATTTGTATGCGGTTTATAAAAAAAAGAAAACGAAAGCTCCTCCCAAATTCCCACAAATGAAAAAATGGAAAAATTAAAACTTGGATAACACTGCAGGGCTTATTAATTTTTGCAATTGTTACAACCAGATGGAGTGCGGGGACCGGGAAGCGCGGCGGGTACTTGGAAAATGTTGCCAAATTGCTGACCTGGCAAACTGTTAGGGGCGGCAGAAAGTACTTACTTAACATATTTAAAAAGTCTTTAATCTTTGAGTCCGATTTCCTTGCCCAACGTTGCATATGAGTGTATCCTCCTTCAGCACCTAGAGATATGTTCTTGCCTTCTTTCTGTTTTTCTCGCTAAAGGCCAGACGCAAAAGCTGGCCATCGGACCCATACTCAGCATTCAGCACTCTCTCATGGCACTCCTTGGGTATTGTATTTCATTTCCGTTTTCATTATTATTTGTGGCTGTCCGACTTTGACTCCAATTCCGTATCCGACTCGCTCCGCACACGCCTGGCCTCTCAGCTGCAACACTGCCTCTTCAGCTGGTGTCTCCACTGCCCCCTTTTTTTATTATCGCTGCTTCTCCTTCTCCTTCTCCGTCTCCGTGTCCGTCTTCTTCCTTGGCTTTTTGTGGAGCGAACGGAGAAGAGAATCAAGAACAACGTCAACGACGATGCCAACATCCTGCTATCGTGCTAATTTCCGTTTCTTTATCTTGACACAATGGTGCGCATTAAAACCATGATGGAGAGGGAGGAGGAGTCAGGAGTCCGGAGTCAGGAGTCAGGGGAAACTCCATAACTAAGGGCGGGTTTTGTGGAGAGTCACGGAATGGGGGCTGCCCCCGAATATCGCTGTTGCAGCTTTGACCATTGCGCTTTTATTTCCGCCCCATTCTTGGCCAACAATTCGTGTGTTGCTTTACTGCTCTAGCCAATACGGCTATTAGACGCCATTTTTGCTTTGTCCACAGAATATTGAAGACAACGTGAAAGCGACATTTGGATTGAAGTTGGGACCGCTACATTATGGGGTTGCTTTAGGAGCATTCCCTCTCTTTAACGTCACCCATCCCCCCCGCCCTGTTCTTATCGCTCTCTCTCTCTCTCTCTCACACCTTCCCAAAGGCCAAAGGGCATCCCGCTAGGCCAGAAACCAGAAATTTGCATTCCACAACAACATGAAGGCAAAATATTGATAAATGCCCGCCATTAAACGCGATTAACAATTTGAATTATGTGGCAAAGCCAAATTTTATTGCCAAAACACACACACACACACACACACGCCACACATACACAGCGACAACAATTCTATGGCCAAACAAATGGCATCATTATTAAAATATTATATACGAGTATATATTGTATGCAAGTTAACGTACCCAATTCCATTGAGCTCTTATACGAGTTGTAAACAATCTTTGGTTTTCCAAAACGAAAACAATTTCAATCTTGGGCCTCCGCCTAATTGATTTCTAAGATGTACAATCTCAAGCGCCCCCGCCGCAATCCCATTCTTTGACACTCGCCTAAATGGAAAACCAATGTTTGCCCACACCCGGCTTCTCATAAACAATCTCACTCCCGGCTTTCTGCAGATCCTGCACTTTAGGCCTTTTACAGTTCTCTCTTTGGATGACGAAATCTAATACTCGGGATGGCGAAATCAATTGAAATGTTTATAGAAAAACGATTCCCGAAAGGGATCAACGATGCAAAGATCAGAAAGTTCAAATCAGTCTTGATCCAGCAGCGACACCGCAAAGTCTAGCTAAATATTAAGATCGCGCAATCCCTTGGCCCGGAATTCCTTTGTGACCCTCTACTTAAATCTATATCAGTGAAGTTCGAAGTAAAATAAAAACTTTTTAAAAACACAATCCGCTACCGCAGTTGTTTAATTGGCGCCCAACGTGGGGCAACGTTGTATAAAAAACACCGAATGATAAAAGTGTTGCGTCGTGCCGAAACCCGAAGGACAATTAATTAATGGAATAAATCCTTCAAAATTAAAAACGCGGAGTGACTGTGTGATATAGATAAAAAAAAGTGAGATAAAAAGGAAACAAACCGGAGCTTAGGGTGTGCAAAAACAAATACAAATACAAATACAAATACAAATACAAATACAAATACAACGCAAAATACAAATAAAACAAAAAGCTAATCAAGGCAATTCGTAAATACAAAAAAAACCAAAGAAACCCAAAGTTTTTAAAAAACAAAACCAACAAAACCGACAAAACCAAAATACAAAGAAAGTGAAACGATTAGCGAAGCCAAAGAAGGAAGACCCCCAGAAGACCCAGCTGAGCAAAGAAATTTAAGAAGGAAGACCCGTTCGAAGATCTGCCAAACTAAGAAGGACGACCCCTACCGGATATTTCGTGAGCAAGAGTTGTATTAATAAATATATAAGTTCAATTAGGATATATAAGATTATAAAAACTAACATATAAGAAAAATTAAAAGTGGATCAGCTAACTTTAGATTTTGAAAAACTAAAAATGATTAACTCTCAAGCAAGGACCGATCTCACAGCAGATCTGGTCAAACAATTGATAGCACTTCAAATTTCACAAGTACAAGAGCAAATTGTAAATTTAAAACAGCAAATAGAAACTAAATCCGATCAGGTATCGGATTATCAGGCAGAAACAATAGACGAGACAATAAGAGACGACACCACATTGAAGGTAATAGAATCCCTACCAATTTTTAATGGTGGATTAAACCAATATGTAGGATGGAGGGAAGCTGCAGAAACTGCAGTGAAGTTATATAAGAAAGGAAGTAAGCAATATTATATTGCATTAACAATTTTGAGAAACAAAATAACAGGACCAGCACATGACGCACTGACCAACCACGGGACAGTTCTAAATTTTGATGCCATACTTTCACGGCTTGACTTTGTTTACAGTGACAAGAGACCTATTTACATAATAGAACAGGAATTAAGCGTTCTCCGACAAGGGAACCTTTCAATTATAGATTTCTATAACGAGGTTAACAAGAAAATGACCTTGTTAATAAATAAGACAATAATGACTCACGGAAAGGACAGTGAGATCACCAAGGAATCAAATAAAAAAATTAGAGACAATGCCTTACGCATTTTTGTCACTGGCCTAAACGGCGGCATTGCTGAAATCCTATTTTCATTGAATCCCCCAGATTTACCGAATGCCTTAGCAAAGGTACAGGAATTGCAATCTAATAACATTCGGGCCCAATTTGCCTACCAATTCAGCGGTCCCAGAAATTCAGGGAATAATAATTTTAATACCTTAAGATTCAACCAACGACAACCTAGGACTAACAGTTCACCATTCGACCAAAAAAGGGATTTGCAGAGGAATAACATGTCTTGGGGACAACCCTATTTCTTGGGTAATAGACAACAAAATCAGGCCCCAGAACCAATGGAGGTAGACGAATCTATACAAATCCGGAACCGACAGAACAGCAATCAATTCAGGGGAAATAATAACAATAGAAATTATCGGGAGAATACTAACGGTTATTTTAGGAGAAATAATAACAATTATAGCCAAGCCCAGCATTTTAGGGCAAACGTAGTCCCGAATAATCAGTCTAACGACAATCCAGCGCAGAAGAAACGAAAACTAAACGAAATGTCGGAACAACCGGCTAATAAAGCAATGAGG